ACATGGCAATTTTGGTGAGTTTTCGAGTATGTTTAGGGCCTCAAAAACGCGTGTCTTTGGCACGAATAATAATAATAATCCGAGCAGCTCCAATAGGGTCTTCGCACCCTTTTGGGTGCTCGGACCCTAAATATCACTTCCTGACCTTTCTTTTAAATTCTGTCAGTGTTTCAAATGTTTATGTGCACATTTCACCTAAAATGGTCACACAACATTTTTCTATACTTTTGTAAGCTGCTGCCGTAGATGACAAGAAAAACCTCTGTATTGTATTTTAGGTTTGCAAAGAAAAGCATCGCTTTGAGAGACTGATGGATCACTTCCGCAGTGAGGAGGGAAACATTGACTTCATGGTGAGAAAGCTTCGTGTTGTGTGTAGATGTGTAAAAGTGTCTCCATCTGTCCATGTAAATAAATATATTTGCCCTATTCTCACCATCTTAACACAATGTCTACAGTCCAACACCATGTGTGAATGCAAAGACCCATGGATTGAATGTCTTTAGACAAATAATGTATACAGCTATGATATATGTAAGTGGATCCAAGGTATAAATGGGGCCTCAATCTATTTGTATTTGTGCTCCAGGTTGCTTGCATGCAGTTCATCAACATTGTAGTCCACTCAGTTGAGGACATGAACTTCAGAGTCCATCTGCAGTATGAATTCACCAAGCTGGGCCTGGATGACTACCTGGAAGTAAGAAAACAACATCCTGGTTAAAGTCGCTCAAATATTTCCAAGTGGAGACTACTCATACAGTCCAGTGTGTGCGTACTGTGTCACTGATGCTCAGTCATTCTCCCTGTTGTCAGAAATCCAAACATACAGAGAGTGACAAGCTGTCAGTGCAGATCCAGGCCTACCTGGATAACGTATTTGATGTGGGTGGCCTGCTGGAAGATGCAGAGACCAAGAATGCAGCGCTGGAGAAGGTGGATGAACTGGAGGAGCACCTGTCACATGTAAGTGCACCACCCAGTCTGGACCACCAACGCTGCTCTCTGCGCCCGTTTATGAGATTGTTGTGGTTCACTAGCTATGTACTTAACTTGGCTGTTTCTACGTGGTAATTAGAAATCTTCAGCCGTGTTTGCATTTCACAAGTGTTTCAGGATAATAATTGGGTGGGGGATGCTGGAAAATGCTGTGTGTGAAACAAGCTTATTATTGTTCGTGTTGGCTCGTTCTCTTTGGGCAGTTGCCTTTGTGTCCCACGCTGCTTTGCAAAGACCTTCTTCACATGGAAAGGTCGTAGGCAGCCCTGACATCATTCTAGGAATTTCATAACAAACTCTGCTCTCAGGGGTCAGGAATGATGGGGGAGGATGAGGGTGAGGATTCTCGGTAAATTCCAGTGCAACATGTGTAATGTTGTCAAAATCAAAACCAAAAGCTGTGTCATGATTTTGCTGCATCATGCTGCTGGGTATATCTTATTTCCTATTGATGATGCAGTGCATAGGAGTCAGCGGGAGGGAGGGGAACTGGGAAAGATGCCCGCTGTGCATCAGTTCTTGAATTCACCTCCCCTTATCTCTCTGTTGGTCTCTCCGTCTTCTATCTTTCCCAGGTGACGGAGAAGCTGCTGGAGGTTGAGAATGAAACGATGATGAAAGTAGCTGATCTGGAGAAGCTGCTCCTTCAGAAAGATAAGGACCTGCAAGCAGTCCGGGTAAGCTGCAGCTACAATGATGTAATATTACTCGCCTTTCTCACATCAGAGAGGCTTCACTCACTCTGAGTGTTAGCAAAGATCACTTTCAGATGCTTGTGCATAAATTGCTGTGATAGCAATTTAGGTCACAGGGAAACAGGATGTTTCTTTAGCTTGCGGAGTCATTGTGTTGTGCTCTTTATCGCCCCCTGGTGACTGCTCAGGAGACATACGAGTCAACCAACACCCAGGTCAACACCCTGAGGAGGATGATCAAGGAGAAGGACGCGGCATTCCAGAGACACTTCAACATCGAGAGGCGGCTGCTGGAGCTGGAACAGCAAGGCACCATCCGTCTGCACAAGAAACCTGACGGAGACATTGCCATTGAGCCACTGGCTGTCGGCGGTGCGGGTGGTGTTGGGAGCGGCGGTCTTGGGATCCCTTTGGGGGACATTGGGCAGCTGTCTTTGGGTTCAACAGCTGGGCTGACAGAACCAGGAGGTCCAGACACCAGTTTACCACCAGCCAGTGAAGCTCCTCCTCCTCCTCCGCCGCCTCCACCGCCTCCCCCTCCTCTGCCCTCTGCCTCAGGTAATAGACGATGACTCAGAGTGATTATGTCTGATGACACATATGTGTGAAAGTTCACTTGTTCTGCTATAGACCCTCAGAGTAGGTCTATTTTCTCTGTATGTTCGTGCCAAGCCAGGTGCTAGGTCACATCAGTGCTCTTCTAACCCAGACAGGAAAGGGAAGCGCAAAGCTTGTTTCCTTTGAGTGCATGTGTGCAGAAAAACCGCACTGGCTGTTAGAGTATTTTTCAGTTCGCTATATTAACTCACTTATATTGTTGTCTTCATAAATCGCAGGTCCAACTGTACCAGTCCCACCACCACCGCCACCTCTTGCTCCTCCTCTGCCAGATGCTTCACCCTCCGTTATCTTGAGTTTGGGTCTGTCAGGTGAGACCTCACACAAAGTGATAGCCATGTTCACACATGAGCGTTTTTGCTTTCAGTTCTGCAGAAGGCAGGAGAGCATTTTGTAAGCAATTTTTTTTTTTTTATTTTTTTTGCCTACAGCTATCAGAATCAAGAAGCCCATCAAGACTAAGTTCCGCTTGCCTGTATTTAACTGGACTGCATTGAAGCCCAATCAGATCAATGGCACAGTCTTCAATGAAATTGACGATGAACGTGTGCTGGAGGTAAATCAAACAGATAGAACTTACTCTGTAGGTAGCTTTGATGAAGACCTTGGTTTCAAATGTCTGTTTGTACAAAAAAATGCACGACAAATTAGCAACAATTCAAGTAAAATCCAACATTCATGCTTATCCACATTATTTACTAAGCGTTTAGTATGTTAAAGTCGAGGTAAACTGCTTCACCAGGACTGTGATCATGGGGTCAGGAATAATGTAGATTTGCTAGGGAATATAAAGTAGCATACAGGCAAATCACATTTTTATGTAATACAGTAATAGATATCAAAACATAACCAACAGCACAAACTAGTATGTCAAAGCACAAGCCTGCTTTTCATAGTAACAAGCTGCTTGATTAAAAAAAAAAAAAAAAAAGTGTTTTTAAAGCCCTCAATATAAGTTAATAAAGTGTAACTAAAGTGTGATTTATTTGTAGGAGCTGGATTTGGAGAGGTTTGAGGAGCTGTTTAAGACCAGAGCTCAGGGTCCAGTTGTGGATCTGTCCTGCACAAAGAGCAAAGTCACTCAGAAGGCGGTAAACAAAGTCACACTTCTGGATGCCAACCGCTCCAAGAACTTAGCCATCACACTGAGGAAGGCTAACAAGACCACCGAGGAGATCTGCAAAGCGATAGAGAAGTATGCACCATTCATGCACTGAAACAAAATGCCTTTAGAGTCCGTAGAACGAGTTACTAATCTAAGTTCTCTTGACTCAGGTTTGATCTCAAGGCCTTGCCTGTGGACTTTGTGGAGTGCCTGATGCGTTTCCTGCCCACGGAGGGGGAGGTGAAGCTGCTGCGTCAGTACGAGCGTGAGCGACGTCCGCTGGACCAGTTGGCCGAGGAGGATCGCTTTATGTTGTTTTTCAGCAAGATCGAGAGGCTCACGCAGAGAATGAACATCATCACCTTTGTTGGCAACTTTGCCGACAACGTCAACATGCTCACGCCGCAGCTCAATGCCATCATCGCTGCTTCCGGCTCAGTCAAATCCTCACCAAAGCTGAAAAAAATGCTCGAGGTTAAGAAGGGTTCATTTGTTATCGTAACAGCAGCATTTCGTCATTATTTTGTGGATATTCATTCGTTCTTCTGCTTTACTTGTAGATCATCTTGGCCTTGGGCAACTACATGAACAGCAGCAAACGAGGCTGCGTTTATGGCTTCAAGTTACAAAGTCTTGACCTGGTGAGCGTTAAATCTGTTTGTTTTTTGCAATACTAATCAACACAAAAACTGTGTTGTGTTTTGCTGATAATACTATTCACATTTTTTGTTCCGCAGCTGCTAGACACTAAATCTACAGACAGAAAAATGACATTGCTCCACTACATAGCTCTCATTGTGAAGGAGAAGTACCCTGAACTGGCAAACTTTCACAATGAATTGCACTTTGTGGATAAAGCTGCAGCAGGTAGGTTTGCACCAAACTGTCATTCTTTCAGTAACCACATGAAGACAGTGTGTTCTGTACAAATTTTTTAAAAGTCTACAAACAAGACTCTATTCTCTTCTGACTGCGTGAACAGTATCTCTGGAAAATGTGCTGCTGGATGTGCGAGAGCTGGGCAAAGGCATGGACCTCATCCGGAGAGAGTGCAGTCTCCACGACCACTCTGTCCTGAAAGGCTTCGTCCATTCGAGTGACGCACAGCTGGACAAGCTGCAGAAAGACGCCAAAGCAGCAGAGGTATCCAACACTGTCCTCACCTCCTAAACCTCAGCATCCACGCATAAAAGCAGACACGAGGCAAACCTCTGTCACACACTCCTCTGACCTCTGGTACACAACACATCATGATTCAACAGTGCTGACAAACACTGCTTCCACTCTGGCACTGTCCTCCACAATTCTAGGAAGCCTTCGGCAGTGTGGTCAACTACTTCGGAGAGAGCGTCAAGACGACTCCACCCTCCGTGTTCTTCCCCGTGTTTGTGCGCTTCATCAAGGCCTACAAGGTGAGGACAGAGGCTGCGTCTATCTCCTGGCTTTCTCTGCCGGTCGTTGGGGAAGTTCCCTGGTTTGTTGTCAGCTTCGCTCAGAGGAGTCGAGCAGGGCAGAGCTTTGGCTGCTTCTGTGCCACAGGACGTGGCGTGTAGTCCGAGGCCAAATAACAGGAAAGGCCAGCTGGGTCTGACTTTAGAGCTGCAGCTGTGGTGTTTAGACTGGTTCTTCCCCCCCCTCTCCTCTTCTTCCCCTCCTTCCCTCCTCCCCTTTACCTCCGGACAGCCTCGCCCTGCCCCGCCACACAGCACACTTCCTGAGATTGTTCTCCGTCTAGATTTATGGGATCTGCTCAAGGAAACGTGCGACACAAGGATCTCTGGATGCATGTGTCTGTCTGAGTGTATGACTCAAAGGAATACTTTGACATACACTTGTTGCAGCTCGGAGCGGCGTTAAATTAGTTTGTTCAGTTTTTCAGTCTTTAATTGCCAGATATAGAAGCCTAAATTTAACTCCAGCGAGAGCTATGGCCACAATAACAGACACACCAGCAACGAGTAGAAATAAAACCACAAAGCCAAACAAACTACCCAAAACGAGAATTGTAAACCTCAATGCAAAAAAAAAACAGGAGAAAATAAGATTGGAACAAATATATCCTATCCCCTGCAGAGCTTCGTGGCTGTGAGTTAAATGCAGTAATTATAGTGTGATTCTAAAGAAACAGCAACCTAAAATAATTAATTGGTAGCTGTAAAATCACTACTTTTCTGACATTACATATAATACAGATCTAATTTGTGTTCTTGCTGAGAACTATACAATTTTTAACCACTCCATCCAGCAGCTTAGCTTTGGTTTGAAGAAAAAAGAGCTTCAGAGGTTGTGCTAGGCAGAGATTTTGTTCACTTTGGTCAGAGCCAGGCTCGCTGTTTCCCTCTATTTCCAGTATGTATTCTAAGCTGAGCTAAAAGAATGTTGGCTGTAGCTACATATTTAAGATACAAACATGAAATCGATATCTAACTTTCTGAAATGTCGAATTATTCCTGCAAAGTGTGTGCATTTAAAAGCTTTACAGGCCAGGCAGAAGGACAAAGAATACATTTGTAATGACTGCTTATGTTTATCAAAGCATGCCTTTCCTGTTTATGTTCAACTTTTGACCTGTTTTCTCTGAGCTTTAAAGGGCCACACAAGTGTGTTGACTTGGATTTATTTGAGCTGCAGTTTCTTGTCAAAAACCGGTTACCTTTTTTTCCTCTCTCTCTCTCCTCAACAGGATGCAGTGGAAGAAAACGCACAGAGGAAAAAGCAAGAGGAAGCAATGAGAGAAAAGTTACTGGCTCAGGAGGCTAAACAGCATGACCCCAAGGTACAGTCCAAGTGCATGCAACTGAGCTGAATGAATGATCACATGTTTATTCAGTGCTAAATAAAGCTTTGTGGTGTGCCAGAAAAGCACAGCGAACAGTACAAATATCCTCTCTGCTGCTTCAGGTCCAGGCTCAAAAGAAGAGGCAGCAGCAGCACGAGCTGATCGCAGAGCTACGGAGGCGGCAAGCCAAAGACCACCGGCCTGTGTACGAGGGCAAGGATGGTACTATTGAGGACATCATCACAGGTGGGCCAGACAGAACCATAAAAACGCCCCACGTGGGTGCCAGCAGCACCAGTGTTCCCAGGCTGAGGATGACTGTGGTCATTCACTGCTCAGCTCCTTTGAAGTGCACCTTGTGCTACGTGGTTCAGACACCGGCACATCTGGAGCACAGCACATAGCAGCACGGCAGTCGCTGGTTAATCCACGACGTACTGTTTAGTCAGTTCTGAAATTTGCAAAGCTGTTGAGCCTCAATGTGCAGAATATCAGACGAGCAGTTTGATCCCAAGAATACAAGAAATTAAGAATCCTAATTTAAAGCCACTATGTGGGATTTTTTAAATTTGATAATTGTACTGTTTAAGTTATTTTGTTTGCGTGCAGAAAAATCAGACAATTCTAGTGAAAACTGACTGGAACTATGCACATGTCTTTTTTAAATCTAACTTGAGGGGTCATCAAAGTAAAGCATTTTAAAATCCTTCATAAACGGCTTTAATGGAAAAAAAAGCGGTATCTACAGCCTCAGCAAAGCACATAAGCTAATTGATGTTTTTTGTTATTAATCATGTAAATAATATAAATGTTGCATCAGGATACTTCTCAGTAATGTTAATAATGCTTCTGTGTCACTACTATCAGAGCCGTAACAGTGTTTTACACAAGTGACGCCTTTCAAGACACGCTCACTGTGTCCTAATCCTATTAAAACCCTGAGGGCTTGCTTCCATAGATGTGTGCTGCATACAGCAGGTCCATCGCAGGCTCCTGAATAAAACATAATCCAATGCAGCCCCCTCCCCCTCAACACACACAAGGGCAGTGTCTCAGGTGTGACGTGTTTTCTCTTCCTCCCCCTCCTCCCCCAGTACTGAAGAGCGTGCCCTTCACAGCCCGCACTGCTAAACGCGGCTCACGGTTCTTCTGTGAAGCCAACCTCTGCGACGACGCCAACTGCTAGCCCTTCCCCCCTAATGCCAAGGTTGTCCAGGTGTCTCTCGAACGCCTCTTGACCTCACTGTGCATGCAGCATGACCCCCTGTCACCCAAACCCCAACGCATCCCGACCACAACTAACCTGGGCCGTCCACTGGTTGTTTGTGTTCTACTTGAGAAGACTCCTATCAGGCGTCTGTTGATAGGAGTCAGCCAAACCTCTTTGCCTGGCACAGGTCTCCATGGAAATACAGTTGTACAGAGTGCCGACATGTTTTTTTTTTGTGTGTGTAAAAAAAAAAAAAACATGTCGAAAGGCTCACAGTACAATCGTGATTCCGATTTGACATGCACAGAACATTATGCATGATACAAAAAGGCTGTGCATTACTCAGATTATTCTGAATCCAACAACCTTAACAAAAAGAGGTTTGGCTCATTTTACTGATTTTTTATTGATAGTGCCTTGTTCCATGAGACTAACTTGTTTGGTGTTGGTTTTTCCGGCTAACATGTGACTCTTCTTTCCTCAACCACCACTCTTTATTCTACCCCCTCCAGCTGAAAAGAAGATTAATGACAGTATTTCCCACTCCTAAGAGAGGGTAAGGAAGGTAGCCTGGCTGAAACTTGGCCCGCTTGGCCCTCCAGCTCCTGTGTGCTGCTACAGTGATGTCAGCTGCTTCAGCTAGTGCTTCAGATGCAAAGAAAGAAAGAAAAATAAAGCTTCACAACACTGAGAATTGCTTTACCTCGCAAGAGAAAATTCAATTTAAGCCTAGTGTGGTAAAAAAAAAAAAAAAGCCCCAACTTTAAAACAGCAATTGAATCAGTTATTTCAATCCGTGCTTCAGAGAGGAAGCTCATGTGGTGTTTTCAGGACGTAATTATTCAGTTTTAATGCATAACTGTAATACCCTTAAAGATCATCATCCTCACCCCTTCTCATTAAGTGTTGCATGTTGTCTAGCGTTTATTTACATCTCACCTGTCAAAAACGTCCGCCATGTTTGTGTCTGCTAACTGTCATCCGCGGTGTGCTCAACAGCTATTTGGTCAACAGGCTCTAGGAAAACAACAGTACACCAATACACAGTCTGTATCTACAACTGATGCACAGATTTTCTTCTACTCTCACCAGCATATCTTATTCCACAAACCGAAGAGCTTGTTGACCATTGTACTGTAACTACGATGGCTACTGTTTTGTGTTTTTTTAACTGCTGCATTACGAGTGGCACAGAGTTGCCATAAGTGCATTCCCAAAGTCTTGAATTTCACCGTTTCGTGCATCTGAAATACGAGGCTTTGGGAATGTGTCATTCAGTGTTAAGTGCTGCATTGTTTATGCCTTTATATGCTAATTTTGTAGTTCTAATACACAGTTAACAAAGTTTAACTGCACAAGTGATTGCAGATTTTCTGTAATTGTTCGAGGGAACACTACTACACAGCTGCCATTTTATTAGGTACACCTAACTAAAACAGTTTATTACAACAGTCCCGCATGAAGCTTCCAATGTTTTGTGCTTTGCTGTTTTACTGAACTGCATCATATAAAAGAGGTGTTCCTGTTATTTAGTTCACCCTCATTGATACAAATGGGATGGACGAAATAATATAAACACACCGGTTTATTAGGTGTAGCTAATAAGGTGGGAACTGAGTGTACCCGTCTGCTTTTGTTGCTTAAAAATACTCTTGCAAAAGAAAAGTTACAGTAAGTAGAAGTAAGTTTGCAGATTGACGTCTCGGTCCTCTAACATGTGTGTCCCCCTCCCCTGTCTCTCACCCCTCTCTCCATGCCTGCTCACAGATCTCCGAAACCAGCCTTTCCTGCGAGCTGACGCGTTGATCCGGAGCGGTTGGAAGAGACCCTAAACCACTTATTCGTCACTTATACCCCCCCCTCCTCCTCCTCCTCTCTCCCATCCCCGTTATAACCCTCCTCCCTGTGTCCCAATGGTCCATCTCAACCCTGAGGCTGCAGATCACAAAGACTGAAAAGGGAGGACAGGACAGAGCCCTTGTTTTAGCTGGGTAATTTATTTATTTATGGAGGCCCCTTTACAGCCACTTTAAGTGAGCAGGCATCATTATAGAAGCACAATGGGCTGCTGCTCCTCTGTCACTGCAGGCATAAGACTTTCCCTGCTCTGCTGGCACTGAGAGAGTCGGAGGATGACCGCAACACAGGTGAGTCGAGGACTGGTGGACCACAAACGGAGGAAAAAACTGTGTGTTCACTAGCAGGAATCTGCCAGCACGTGGATCTTCATGTGGATGTTCCCGAAACCCACTAATTTCCTCAGATTGCAGCTCTGGACTTAAACTTGGAGGCAGCCGAGACAAGTTGCCAAACTGTGCTGCTGGGATGTTTGCCTCGAAGACACTTGCAAAACCTTCCTCCAAATAACAGAGAAGCTTCTATGATATAACAGCTTGTGGACTGTTTCAAAGCGTTGTCAAGTCCTCGCAACACATACAATCAAGCCTTAATGTTGACAGTTGCGTATTTCGATTGTATCCTGGAGGAAAAGACCATCACTTTTACTGGTTCTTCTGGACGGAGCTAGCCAAACCAAAACTTTCTCAAATGTCTCATGTTTTGCTTTAAGAAGTGCCTTTTGTGTAAACAGTGTTATTTTCTCACGAGTCAGCCATAATTTGTTTGTCTTTCATTTGTTAAAGATTGTATTTTTTACTGCCTTGTACTATTGCTAATGTTTGCCTTATAATACGGACAATATGCAAGTTGAAAGTTCAGGCTTTAAAGGCGCAAAGCCACTAGAGGGTAGATTTATTTTTTACCTCTCTAGCACATCCGTGGCTTTAAACTGAGCTTACATGAGAGCCCTTAGCGCCTTGTCCAAGTAATGATTAAATACTGAATGTTAGCGCGCCTCGACAACACTCCCCGTCACGCCCACAGTGACATTCGGGAAGTGACAAAATGTATGAAGATTTCACATGGACTGCTGATGAAGGGTGATGTTGGGTTAACCTGCTATAAATGTGTTAATAGATGAAGGATGAAGGGCGTTTAAGCTTTTAAAATCTGTTTTAATACAGGTGATGCGTTTCTTCCTAACAGCTCACAAGACATTGGCACAAAGGGAGCGATACATCTTTACACTACTTAATTTGACTCAGCATTGTATGAGACACTATTCTTTAAATGGACATTTATATTGTTGTACATTCAAATCAAGAAATTGTACTTTTTAGGAGAAATTACCCTTGGGTATTGTCAATTGACTGAAAGATGACACTTCTCGTTTAATAAATATGATGAATTACTACAAGAGCAAAGATTGTCATTATAAATCAGTGGTATGAAAGCAAAGGCTGATGTTTTTTGGGTTTTTTTTGGGGATGAAGCAACATTCAAACAAGCAATTTCTACATGTTTGTGTTTTATTTCTTAGTTCTTTAAGGATAACTGACGCTAATTTCTGATGTATTCCAGCATGAAATAATGACTTTCTTTTCCTCTCCGTCTCTCCAAATGACAGACAGGGCCATCGTACATTTCTACTATAAAAATCCATTTAATTTCTTATATCAAAAAGAAATAGAATCATAACAAAACAATCAGAACCACAAATATGTGGGGGTATTTTTTTTTTTTTGCCACCGAAAGAAACTCTCCAACTGAAACATGATTGTTCTAATTTACATGGAAATTTAACAGAGCAGGACGTTTAAAAAATAAAAATAAAATAAAAAAAAGGGATAAAAATGTGATGAATACTGTTAACAAGTGAGAGGAAAAGCCAGAGTTTCCTTGCAGAGTGACACAGAGGGTATGACTGATGAGCTCAGTTTAAAAAGCAGCACAGTGAGACACACAGAAAGCAACGATTTAAGGACTAAAAACCAGGCTGACAGACAGATGGTTAGTGTTAGCAGCAAAGCAAAGGAATTTAAAAAAAAAAGAAAAAAGAAAAAGGAATGCTTATCAGGAAGCTGATCAGTCTCCTTCCTGGGAATGCACTTAACAATGAGCATTAACCTAAATTACATGTCCATGTAATTACATACAGTAAAATAAAAAAAAGAAAGAAAGAAAGAAAGTAAAAAGTTCAATCTCCCACAGAAGTATGTACCATCAAACGGTCTCCCTGGCCTTTCCTGAAAGTACGTTTACAATCAAAAGACAAGGAACAAGAGCTAAATGCAACCATTCTCAGCTAATTACTGGTTGCAGACTGGTATTCAGTGATAACCGGAAATTCACAGAAGCTTGCCTTCACTCTCCCCACCCCCCGAAAAAAAGAACTTTCTAGAGCAGTTTCAGAGCAAAATCCAGCTCCTGTCCAGAGTGTCCTGCAGGAGGCTAAACCAAGGCCACGGAAATCCATCCCAGACTTTTTCATCCTGGAATGTGGACTTAATTACAATCATCTTCATCCAGCGCACTCACACACTGCCATTGACTCATTCATTGCTGACACAAAGTATGTCAATTATACAATGATTTAAAAAACTGTTAAAAAGTACAGACTGCTATTTGTTACTGATGTTTGTATTCCTGGGTATATTTTCAAGACACTTTGTTAATAGGTTCATATATATGGAAATATATATATATATAACTTTAGTCTGTGCAAGGAGATAAAAGACAATCACTTGAATGTAGTTCTTTGCGACAACATGACAGACACTGTCTGCGATGCTGGTCCTCCATGTGTACATGTGCAGTTAAACATCACCTCATTCCTCCCTCAGCCTCGGTCTCTCGTCAGACCTCCAACACCAAACATACATATACACATAATGCGAAAGACTGAGCTGAACCAGCATCCAGGAAGCATTCATAGTGAGCACTGACACTTCTCCTCTCTTTCATGAAACAACAAAGACTTGGCAACATTTTTCTAGGATGGAACAATATTCTTTTCTCTTTTTTTTTTCCCCCCTATACAATTCATACAAAAATAAAAAATTAAAATTGTTCCACTGCCATTTGTATCTCTCTATCTTTTACATTTGCACAGAGGTAGTGGCTATATGTGTGAGAGAGGAGGGAGACTTGTGAGGAGGTGAGCAAAATTAAAAAGAACTGAAAAAAAAAATGTCTATAAAATGTTTCATTTATCCGTCACCAGAGGATTTTTTTTTCTTTTTTTTGTCAAAGAACAAAATATAATACTGCAATCACTTAAAAAAGTAGTCCTTCATTTTATACATTTTATACAGTGTTCTCGCTTTTTTTTTTTTTGTTGCTTTTCTTTTTTAGTTGGTAAAGGCATAAGATGAGAGAGAGCTCGTTGGCTCAGCACTGGGTTTGGGCAAGGCAGGGCAATGTTGGCAGAGTTCAATCCATGCCGAGCTCTACGCCAGCGGGTCACTCATGTCCTCATCGCCCTGGGAGAGAAGCTCCTTCTTTTCATCAGTGCTGGCCAGAGAGTTGCGGCTGTTGTGGGCGCCCATGTACAGGGTGGCATACACTGGGTTGGTGAAGTTGGTGGGCTGCAGAGCAAAGAAGATTACATGGTGGCTCAGGGCATGAGAAAGGCAGAGAGTCTATAAATGTGAGACAAACATGTACTGCAGTTTGTACGTTTAAAGAAAAAAAAGAAAAATACGGTGAGTTCATTTCTCTCTTACCACTAGAACCCTTTCAGATAGTTTTGATTTGTTGCATTTCGTGCTTGTGTGCGGTACTTGTTTGTTTTAGCAAATGCAATCATTTTCAAATAATGAATAACAAACACTGCGCAGAAATGACATTTTTTTAAAAGCTGGAAACATACTTGCTAATTAACGTATGACACACATAAAGCAAAGAAAATACAGCAGTGACTCGATAATCCGACCCTTAACAATCCAAAAACCTTGCTATCCGAAAGGTTTTAAGGAAAAACGAATGGAACCCATTACAAATAGCCTACACATGCCGACAGCCTTGGATTCCGACTCCGACATGACATTTTATGTCACAAATAAGGATCACAGCGTGTTATCTGACTTAACAATCTGACGGATTGGCTACGTTCAGACTGCAGGACTTAATGCTCACCTGAGATTTTTTTTGTGAAATCCGATGTTTTTGCGAGTTCGTTCACATTTCCAATTAAACTTGCATGTGATCTACTGTGTGAACATCCTACGACCCAAAAGTGTCCCGCATGCGCAGCAGAGGACTCAACGACATTAGACACAGCGAGCGTGCTCAGTGTTTACAGAAGTAAATACGGATGGTAACGGTGGAGCGTATCTGCCACTCCCCTGCCACCACCGCCACCAATGGTGGAAACAGAACTGTGACCACTAACTAAATTGACATCAGCAGCCAAGTACTGCCTGTGCGTTCCGGCCACTTCCACCCCACCGGAGCGCTCCCCTGGGGTGGAAGTGGCCCTCCAACCGCACAGAATATTTGGATATTCTTTTTATTTATTTTTAAAATGTATTTATTTTTCTAAATTTGGGCATTTCTGTTCAGTATTTATTTCCTACACGTTACATAGTTATTTGGCACCCGACTGGGGAAATGGCGCCACCAGCTGTTTAGCTTAACAAACAAACTAATATTTCTAATCTTACTTTCATGATTTTGCTCATGGAACTTTAGTTAATAATCTCCACTACATTTAGATCGCTGGCTCAGGTTTGGGGTCTGAAGGTTATGCTACCATCTAAACACAAAGTGAGTTCAAAATATAGTTTCTTTCCAACAAAAATGTTCTGGTTACTCTGGATGATAAAAACGGTTTTTATTTGAGCAAAAATAAATGCTATTCTACCTCTGGTACCACAAACTGAAGTCACAAATACAGACTTGTTAAACTGTAAATATTTGCATGGTTAGAACACACTATTCAAAGATATGTTTTATTATGATTTGGATGACTCGTCCCTTTAAACAAGAGCGCTTTAAGCTGTGTTACCTTGTCTGGGTCCAAAGCAAAGTCTGAATCCAGGAGCTCCCCGGCGTCATCATCAGGGTCTCCCTCATAGATCTTATAGGCAGGGTTCCCAATCTCAACATTCATGGCTCCATTTGTCATCCGGTGGTGCTGGAAGCCCTTGGCACTGCAGAAAGACAAATGTATAATAAAGTGGTTAACCATCTAAGCAATAGATTAAGGCTCCTGTTTAAAAAAAATTTAAAAAAAGGCGATGCTCTATTTTTAGGAGAACCTCTAAAGTAAATTAAACAAGTCTCAGTGGCTAGAAAAGTCTCATAATTTGGCACAAACCGGGTACTGACTCAGCACCAGCTACACACAGTTCACACAACCAAGACAACACGTATTAGAGGTTGTCAAATGGGCTTTTTTTCTTGTGTTAAAAGGCCATTTGATCAAACCCATCGAATATACTGCAGCATGTCTATCAAGGAGAATGCTGGATTTTCACATTGCAAATATTCGGCTGTTTGCAAGCATATAAACATTGTTCATAGATGCACAGTTTTACATTTTACTCTGCAAGCACATAGCGGAAGCCTAACATTTACACATGTAAACAAGGAAAGGTATATGGAGACGCAAGAAGGATGTAACAGTTCGATTGTTTGTGCATCAGCGCCAAAGCTGATTCAGATGAGAGTCGGTACATCCCTGTGTTGCTGAGTGGGAAACCCCATGATGGGAGGCAAACGGGAGATGGCAGGCAAGGACAAACGGACAGAATTCTGCACTGACCAACAGAATGGACAAATGGACTGACGAAAATAAAAGCATAGCCAGTCTGTGTATTAGGAAAGGGAAGGGAGAGGATTCGTGGGTCAACAGGTGAATTATGTAACCCTATCAAGTTACCGCGAGCACTGAGAACGAGATTTGCCCGGGCATAGAGACCTGGGAGACAGGAAATAGATGTTATCAAAAGGTAAGAGAGAAAGAGAAGCTAGATAGCACAGATGTGTGGACCAGATGAAAAATGGAGTTTGAACTTTTGATTTTTTAAAAAAAAAACCATAAAACCACCACTCACCCGCGCATTCTCCGCTTGTACCACAAGATGGCACCAACCACCAGCAGTGCCAGCAACAGCAGCAGAAGGACCGGGATGACGACGGAGGCAGTACCTGCGAGCGAGCAAGCAAATAAGGTGAGCAAACAGGACCAAAGTGCATGTTTTGTTATCAGTACTCTTATGTCGGGAACGTCTTACTTCCGCTAGAAGTAGAAGAATCGACAGAAGCAGCTGCGACTTCGCATCTGTATCCCGTCCATCCAGCAGGACACCTAGAAACAGCCAGAGTTGTAACTGTGAGAGTCCGACAGACAGGAAAAGTTCATTCATGTGCGCGTGATTTGTTGGGGTTGTGGGGGTCATATCTTACTTGCAC